CAACAAGTCTATACAAGCTGGTTGTATTTACTGTCCGCAACAAGTCTATACAAGCCGGTTGTATTTATAGTTTTACCTCATGTGGAGACAGCCATGTAGAGGTTTACAAACACAACGTTTTTGTGTTTATTTGTCTTATATATGTTTTGTATTTGCCTTGGAAAAAGACTCATTAAGAGTCGAAAGCGCTCACGCTAGTTAGTTACTAGTTTCGTACTGATCGTCGTCAGTTTATTGCATCTATATATATGTGTGTGTGTGTGTGTGTGTGTGTGTGTGTGTGTGTGTGCGCGCGCGCGCGCGCGCGTAAGTCGTTTGAATTGAACTTTCTAAACTGTCCAAGGTGATGAGATATGGAATTACCTTTACTGAAACAGGTCGATCAGATCAGATCAAGTGTTGGGGTGGGAGTGGCGTGTGTTTAAAATAATTTCAAAAGGGCACCAAAGCAAACGTCAATGTGTTTATAATATCCAATAAACGTGGGCAAGAATAAAACGATAAAATTTCAAGTGGCAAGTGACCGTACATTTTTGGGGGTGTACGTTTTTTTTAAAGTGGGGTCGAGACCATCCCCCCTCCCTGCCGTCTCGATCTCGCCCTGAGAACAGTGGCGTACTAAGGATAAATGGCGCCATTGACCCTGTGGCGTAAACGGCGACGACGATGGCCCAAAGAGCCAGAATACAAGGCTCTGAGGGTCGAAACAGGTTAAGGTTTTTTGGGAGGCCGCTAGTGACCCTCGCACTTGCTATGGTCTATGGTGTGTCCCTGGCCGTTTGTGATTTTCTGAAATTTAATACCATTTTGTGCCTTCCATGGCATCTAAATTCTATCATTCACAGCTGTTTTGGCCCCCGTCCCCCCCCCTGCTCCCGTTAGTAGGCTTATGAACATATTGCAACAAAATAACAACGAAGCTTGGATCGTAAAATCAAGCCTTCGCATATCGCTTCGACGTAGGGTACCGCGAGAGTTCTGATTGCGTTATTTTTTTATTTTATTTTTTTTTTGTATGCATATGGCACAACCCTCCAGCGTCCCTCAGGGCCGCAAACAGGTTAGGACAACTAGGGCAAAATTCACGGGGCCCACAATGGTCATCGTCTGTAATTCATAGGAGCCACAAATCATGTGTGCGGTCCTGGAGTGCCTAGCTCTTCTAGTGTCGCTAGATATTGTTTTTCTTTTTTTTTTTTTGTGTGCCTCAAATGTGTTATTAAATGTTATTAAACACTACAGAATCGCCCATCTGCGCACTGGTACCCGAAGTATGAATCTAATCCACGAAAACAGACCATAGATCCATCGTCATTACAGACTTACTGATGAAACATCATCCAAACAGAACTATGCGGCGTCTTCTATACAATCCAGATTTAGCTCCAGGCGATGTTTGGTTGAATCCTTTTACCCAAGATTTAAGGACGATTTGAAAGCCGTAATACTGTTGCAAGTAATTTTCCAGTGTCTGAACACAAAAGGACATTTAATACGGATAGTCAAAAAGAGTGCAGAGGTGCTTGGGGAGTATTATGACCGGGATATGTGACAAGCTGTTCTCTAATAAATAACCGTTATATAGCAGTCAGAACTTCTTGAAGTTTCTTTACACTCTGGAGAAAAATATGATTGTGGCCATTTTTCGCGCACTCGCTTACGTTAATTGGGTAATGCGTATATATTAAATTTAGGAGTAGTGATTCATTCATTTTCGCTAGCCAAATTTATCGCCGTTCTTGTTGTTAGGCTTAACACCATTGTTCAGCATAAGATAACTAGTAAAGTTTGCTAATTGCTCGACACCTTCGAGGATCGATCCAATAATTCCAACGCTTCGTCGTAGTGACATTATTTGATTTCACATGTTGCCTCCCTTAATATGTAATGCCAACTAACCAAAAACGTATAACTGCGGTGTATCGGCCAAAAATGGTGGAAGCAGCGGACATGAAAAGGGATATTGTAATAATTTTTTTTAGATTTGCATTTGGTTATAGCGCTCCGTTTTAGCAATTCTTAGATTTGTGTAATTAGTTGTTTGATTATTGGAAGTCAGTGCAACTGAAATATTCCTTAGCCTAACGTCAATGAGAGAAAGTGTTCGTGAGTTTATATGATGCCATGGTAAATGAGTAGTGAATTCAGACCCAAACCACAAGACTGTCCCTGCAATAATGTAGTCACTCTTAAAATATAATGGTGTACATTGGTGGAAGTATTTACAGTAGGAAACCGGTAAATTACACAATGGAATAAACAAGGTACTCGGAAGATACCGTTTATTTCGCTATGGTGGTAAATGTGCTGCAGTTGTACTGGCGTGATGTGCCTTAAAATGAAAGATTGACTGACATAAGGTGGTGTAGTTAAAATAGTCCCCTGTGTTATGGGATTGTTGTAGTTTCTCCGGCGTGAACTGCTGAGAGTTGATGAACAAAAACATATGCTGATATGCGGTTGATAGATATTTGGCAAGTTATGAAATTTGTGGTCTTGCATTGATTACAGCAAAATTTATGTATAGAATGAATACGTCAAGCTTTCTAATTTACAACTTAAGTTGCATAGAAAATCATTGTGGTAAACTTATTACTTCTAGGAGGAATCGCGCCAGGGTTTTGACACCGTTCGGTCAAGCAAAGACCCCTTGCTTGTACAATACTTTGTAAATTTTGCATCGAAAGTATGACTACATACCAATCAAAAGCCATTACAAGAGTACTTGATAGAAAGGATGTGTTTGTGAAAACACGGACCGGCAGTGTTAAAGTTTCTTATTTACGAGGTAATTAAAGTTGTTGTTCTCTCCTCCCCTTGTCTCAAACGTGTGGGAACAGTTTTCAAATTCGAACAATTTTATTTTGATTGTATACGGTGGCGTGCAACCGCAGTCAGTGAAATTAATAGACATAAAGCACTGAAATATCTGATCGATCCGCCAAGGCGCAGATAGGTTAGCATATCGGAACCTTGGAGAATAAAGATGGGATACATTAAATCATTTCTCGTTGAGAAAAAACATCGTACCATGTTTACCCACTGCCACAACTGTGATAAGGCTCAACGCAATAACATGGAAGACTAAAAAATTTCTCAATTTTCATCAATGTGGAACCGCACGCCAAAACTTTACATAACAAAACAGTATGGAACAGTAATGCTGCTGAACACAAAGTCAGGACAGACACTCGGGGACGTAAAATCCTGGATGCAAGATTTCAGTTGATTTTAATTAATTTTCAACAATATAAATATTGTTGCCAAATTGGACTGAAATCCACCATTCCTTCGCAACCACGGTCTAAAATGGAATGCTGAAAATTAAGCCTATTTAATGACTTTACAATGAAAAATCCTCGCGTAAATTTGGTTCAAGTCCAACAATTCCTGGTAATGATACTTGGCAGAAACCAGCTAGGATGAGCAATCAGGTGCAACCACTTACGTTGAATACTGAAATTTAAGCTCTTTTATGTTTCATGGATCAATTATTACTAATATAAAGCTGCATGCAAAGTCTAGCAACAATATCCAAGTTTTTGGTAAAAAAAAAAAAATTGTGCATAAACTAAAGATACGATTCTGAAACCAAATATACGACTATGAAAAATCAAGGAACAATGTAAAATCTTTGTAAAGGTTTACCGTGTCAGCAAAAGTTGGAGAAAAAGCAACCAGTGTCATTAACTCTTGAGAATTCTTTATTCACTGGAAATGAAACTCAACTGGTTTGCCCCATTAAAAAGTAACATGCCAATTTGGTTGAAATGCACCAAACATTGGCAAAGTTACCCGTATGCTGCCAAAACCACTGGAAAAAAGTCACGGATTTTGATAATCGGAGGCGTAACTTTGGTAAATGAGAATATGGAAAGCTCGAGATCGAAATCACTCAAAGGTCTCTTCAACATAACGGGTATACAGCCAAATTTAGCTGAAATCCAACAATCAGTGGTAATGTTAAGCAGTGGAAACGAAGTGAGTCTAATATGGACCTTAACTCCTCTAAATAATGATAAACAAGGTTGGAAAGAAAACAATTGTGGTTACATCGATTTAACGCTAACTGTAAATTTGATCGAATACCAGCGATATCGCGAGTTTACGGTAGCCATAAAAACGAAAGTTTGGCAATCTATACTAAATAATCACGTAGAATACGGACCATCTGATTGAGCCAAGTCCTCATAATATCAAACTGCAACCCGAATTTATTTGAAATGCAACAAACACAAATCTAGAACTTACCAAGCACAAATGAAAGAAATCTAACGGAAAATCAGGGTCTATAACTCTGCTAAGCACTGATGTAGACTGATGAAATCCAATGTACCAAGATCTTGGTAACATCAAATTATGTTTCAAATTTTGGTGAAATTAAATAATCAAGATTTAAAAGTTCAAACCCAATGTGAATTGGTCTGAAAATCAAGGACTGTAGCTCTGCTAAATGAATATATAGGCTGCAGGCAATCAAACGAAACCGAGATCTGATGAAAATTGAACTGCATAGCAAGTTTATTTTGAGCCCCAATATTACTTAAGGAAATTAGTCCAGAAAAAATTGTGGGTTAGAAATATTAATAAATAGACAGACAGACCTAATTTAATATAACAACCCTCTTTTCAACAAAAACTAACCCTCAAAGCCCGTCGAATAAAAATCTTATTATCCATTGCTGTATTTCTCACCTTTGACCATCTGTTCGTTTTCCCTACTTTAGCTGATGATGTGCCCTTGAACAAAGTAAACAAGTGATGCGATTATGATTTTTAACGTAGCTTTAACGCTTTTTCAGTCGTATCGCTACGATGTCTGCAGTGTGGCAGTTTGTATAGTTATGTCTAGCACTGGGGCATCATGTCGCAGACAGGTAGCATGATGTCCCACCCAGTCACATTATCCTTACACCAGGCCAACCAGTCATAACACTAACCTCTTAATGTTGAGTGTCAAGCGAGGCAGCTGTTACGACCATTTTTGTAAGTCTTTGGTATGACTCGACCGGGGATTGAACCCACCATCTCCCGCATCTATGGCGGACGCTCTAACCACTAAGCCACCGGAGCAGTAGTAAACCTGTGAAAAATCGCATAAGAGTACTTTTAAAACAAATCCAGTCTGAAACTTTCAATAGGTTTTTCTTCTTCAAATAATCACAAAAGCTTTAAGCATTTATCATATAACACTGAACCTCGATTTGTGTTTTGTTGCATTTCAAATGATCTATACTTTTCAAGGATACCCTTATAAATTTGTGAGCAAAATCTGAAAACACACTATCCATGGAAGCATAGGCTCATTGTCCCTTTCAAAAAGTGGCAACAAAATTTAAAGGATGGGATCTTTGCCATTTATATTTGTATCTCCATTTCTATAATAATAGTTATAAACCCAAGTACTTATACTCAATGTCTGATAACAATTCCTCCATATAATGAGGCATCATTGTCAACCCCAAAAATGCTTATTTCACAACTCCTACATTTAACAATGACTCCGTTACCTTGATCTTTGACCCTTTTAGTATTCAAGATGTTTTTGCTCCCTAGAGTAGTTCTGGTTAAAGTACAGTTAACTAATCTGATTACAGGTAAGTAGACAATCCAAAATATCTTAAAAACTCAGAAGACCTCTTGTCAAGTTTATAAAGTTTATATGATCTCATATTTTTAAAATATATCTCACATGTGTTTAAAATTAATAAGATATTTTATAAATAGTTAATTCACATACTTCACAATTTATTTTTTTTAGATATCTCAAGGTTTACAAGATCTCTTGTAAATTATAACAGATATCTAACAAGCTTTAAAAGATATAAAATTTCTAAAACTTGCTATAAAGAGTAAAAGAGAATTTTATAAACATAGCACATCTTACAAAAATTTGTGAGATATATTGTATAGTTTATATTTAGTCCAGTTTTGGGAACAAAAGTAATTTGGGTTGCCCTATAATGGAGGAGAGTCTGCCCTTACAAAAAAAGCAACAAAAAAAAAGAAAACAAAATATTAAACCAATTAGTTAACCCAAAAAGATGGATGGGTAGAAAGATAGACTGAGAGTAATGCACATCCCCATTGGCAACGCCATACACAGGAAGCATACAAATGTTTCCTGTTTGATATCTGTTCTGTCCTGGTCGGGTTTATTGACCAAGTCCCTTTCATCTCCATGTTTTCTTTTGACCCCAATTAAGAATAATTCATTAGGTACTTTTGACCTTAGATTATGTTAACCGGATATATTCAGTTAATCCAGGGGTGGGCAACTTCTCCAGTCGGCGGGGCCGGATATAGGAAAATGAAATCCTTGGCGGGCCGGATTACTGAATCGATACCATAATCGTGTATTTATTCACCTATGCAAGGAATAAATCGTATTTAATGTAAACTTTAAACTTTTAATCTTTAAGTTTATAGCACAGAGACCAAAAACAGTATTTAATTTAAAGTAATGTACTTCAATAGCAGCTGAAGTCAATGAGACATCTGTGGTCGATCAATGTTATCAACAAATTGTTTGAACTCTGGCTGCATGTCGGACGCAGAAATCCTCAGTAAAGACTGCACGTGAACATCAGTTAGATTGGAACGTAGCTTTGTCTTGTTAATGTTCATGGTCGAAAATGTTTGCTCGCAAATGTATGTAGACCCGAACAAAACAAGTAGTTTCATGGCCATTTTTCTCAGGTTGGCAAACTTGGACTCATTCAGTGACGCATAAAATTTGTCAAAGCTTCTAGATTGGAAGTTCTCTTTCAGGGTTAAGTCACACTGCAGATCAATCAATTCCATGGCATTTTCCACATTTTCAAAAATATCTTCACGGTAGTATTGTCTTTCATTGATTCCATCGACAGCAATTCTTCTGTGATTTCAAAGTTTTCTGAAATGCCTCGTACAAAGATGAGCAAGTGTGCAGTGTCATCGATGTCAGTGCTTTCATCCAATGCCAAGGAAAACAGCTGAAATGAAGGTACACGCCCTTTCAGTTGTGATGGCAGGTCTTCAGCAATTGTTTAAATGCGGCGAGCTACAGTTCTTCTCGATAAACTGACTTCCCCAAACTTCTTTCTTTGTTCTGGCCAGACTTGATCAGCTTCATCGAGCATGCACATTTTGACAAATTCACTATCACAGAACGATTTGCTGTGCTTAGCAATGTTGCATGCGACCACAAAGCTGGCATGAGTAGCAGTTTTCTAGGCTACTTTGGCTTTTCCGAATACATTTTGCTGGTTTACAAGTTTTCTGTCCAGTTCTATTGCTCTTGTTTGCCGTTCCGCTGCTGATAAAGTACTGCCATAACCTGCATGTTTCGTCGTATAATGGCGGCTAATGTTGTACTCTTTCAACACGGCAACATTTTCACTGCACAGCAAACATACTGCTTTCTTGCCGACTTCTGTGAAAATGTACTTAGGCATCCAATCTTTGTTAAACGCGCGACACTCGCTGTCAACTTTAGGTTTCTTGGCAAAATCCATGGTATAAATTTTATTGTAAATCCTAAATCTAATTCTAACTGAAAACAAAGAATCAAAGAATAACTAACAATCACTATTATTCGACGTAGTAAGCAAGTAGTGGGAGATTGTCGCAGAATGTGGCCGCGGGCCACTTTATCATGTACGACCGGAAACAGCCTGCGGGCCAGTCAAAATCCCATCACGGGCCGGATTTGGCCCGCGGACCGTATGTTGCCCGTCCCTGAGTTAATTTATTCATAATCCTCAGGTATCGAAAGCCGCGGATGTGATTGTCGTCACGTACGTCTTGGTCAAGTTATACCAGGGTAAATCTACTATGGTGGTGAAAGCTATTTTTAGGTACTGTAGCGCTAAATCTGCCAGTTAAACCCAGATTACTCAAGGTAAGAGGTAATGTACAGGTAGCAAACATGTATATCAAATTTGCATGCACATCTCTCTGCTCCAAACAAAAATAACATTTACAAATGGATGAAAAGTCAGATTCATGCTTTTTATCCAATATTATAATCAACTAGAACAAGAATAATAGAAGAAAAAAAATTAAAAATAAAACACAAAGGAAAAAGTCTGACAATTCCTTTTATGAGCACGTGTAATGGAATTTATAACAAGAGCCTCTACAGTATTTTATCAGGCCTTGATCCAGTTTAAAAAATTATTTCCGACAAGACAAGGTGACACTATAAACATGAAAGCAACTGTTCCTTCCACTTATAGCAGATACCCTGGAAAAGATAACGGAAGAATGCCCCATCACCACCAAATAACTAGTTATTGCAATTCAATGTCCAATGATTTTGACTTCTGATCTATCAAACGTGGACAAAATAAGGAGCTGCCCTTCTTAATTGTAATGTAACTAATTGATAACACAATTTCATACCATAATCATTAGAAAAATTGACTAATGGTTTGGAATGCACATTCCATAATTCTTATTTATGGAGCATAAATCACATGATTACAATGTGGAATAAAATGACCTTCATCTTTCACCTCTGTCTCTAATGATGAGCTGTTCCTGTCCAAGCGTAGTCTTTGAAATCTGATGAAAATTGTGCCAAGGAAACTCAACTCACCTTGCAGAAAGAAAAATTCCACTTTTAGTTCCAGTGATTTTTAACCTGTACCAAGGAGCATCAAAATCATCAGACGTCTGCCTCCAGCCTTGGACATGCCACAAATCAAATTTTAAAAAATGTAACAGAGCAACCATGTTATTTTGTGAAAACTACACTGATATATACCACTTCACCTTTAGTGCCAAGCATAAAAACGCTTACATTTTAAAGTTTGTTCATGATATATCATATTATCATTATCAAAATGGACAATTTATTAGACAAATGAAAATATACAAGAAATAAGAAACAATTTGTTAAAACGCAACAATGCATAAATCATAAGCTTTTAATAACAAGGTCAGTCCATATAATAACCTTAAGTTGAGTGTCATGCAGTATGCTGTAAAGCCTGCACTTCAAGTTGTCATATTTTTTTCCCCAATATGGTCATGCCCATAAAATATACACATCAGATTATATATATATATATATATATATATTTATATATATATATATATTTATCTATATATATATATATATATAAAGATATATGGCTGAAACAGATTTAACCCACAATGATACTTAAGTGGTAACAATACACAAGGCATGCATAGTAATAAATCATTATTGTATTGGTGGAGTAACAGACCCTTCATTTCCAATACACATTTTAGGATAACATTACAGAGATTAATGACAAGAGCATCAGGGGGGGTGTGGGCAGTGGGAGAAGGGCATAAATGCTTCCAGTTTGGAGCCATTTGTACAATTGGAAAGGGGTGGGTATCTACGATTTTTTTTTCTCTATTTTTGTGGTATAAAATATTTAGTGGCATTTTAGGGAAATGAAAAAAAAAAAGAAAAGAAAAAAGTGCACAGCAGGGTGGTTTGATGAAACCTTACAAAGTCTGTATGGGGAAGGGGGGGATAATTGCCTGTTGTAAAAATTTTCTAGGATTTTAGTTTGAATACAGACCAGAGCAAACTTTGGTATCAACTGCTAGTATTGCCAACACACTGGGCAATTTAGCTATCATGCAGTGGTAAAGCTGGCCATTATCACCACTGTATTGATAGAACCAGTTTGAACTAAATCTCTCTTCCATCAAGGGTGAGACTGACACTGCTCACATCACTTGCATAACAATTGGCCATGTCACTAACCATGCTTATGTAGTACTGCAAACATGTAAACCATCTCCTAAACTTTATATTGTGTTAATTTTACCTATTTTACTGTTGTATGATAAGAAAAAAAAACCCCAACTAATTAAAAATAACAATATGGCTTCATGAGTGACGACATTCAGGGTGCCAAGTAGGTTAATGTACTGGTCACAGAATGGCTACCAACTTCAAAAAAATAAAAGTCACCATTTGCAAACATCTTTTTGCCAAATTACACTAAGCAAAACAGAGCCTGAAATATCAGCATTGATTCTTAAATAGGCTCCTCAGTCAGTATTTTTGATAGTACATGTATTACACATGGCAAATCCATGAGATA